TGTGTTTGACTTTTGAGAAAAGGCAGTGAATATACCAAAAGTGTCCTGATAAAGTACCACAGGGAAAGGTACAGAGTTACTAACAGGAAGGGTCCATGATGGGAGTCGGGAATAAAAGGGGCCAAGAACTGGGTGTTAGGGTGGAGAGGGAAAGACAGAGGCCTCACAGGACAGGGAAGGGAGAAGTGTAGGAAAGTGAGGCTTATCAGCATCAATTCCCCATTACACGTGCACATCCCTGAGAAAGTCAGCCCCTGGTAGTCCCCCCAGGACCCTGGAGGTTGCGAAGTTGAGGGCTTCACCCAAGGGCAGACAGTATCCCCACCTCTGCCACCTCCTTACCTTGGGGCACCTCGCAGTCACCAGTGTGGGGGTCATCCCTGGTTCCCATGGAAAACTCCTCAGTCTCCTGGGGAGCAGGTGCTTCTGCCACTGCATCTTTCACCACTGCTCCATAGATCTCAGACTCAAAGTCTGGCTCTACTGGCTCCTTGCCAGTGCCCACCTTCGGGCTGGCATTGGGGGCCACACAACAGCTCAGAATCTTCCCCATGGGGCAGCACTGAATCTTTGCTCAGCCCCACACAACAGCTCAGCAATGCTCAGCGCCCCAAGCCGACTAGGCTTCCGAGGGCCTGCAATCTCACTCAGTTCAAAGTGAGTGGAGATCCCACAAGGGCTGAGAGCCAAATCCAGTGCCAGAGATGGGGTTCAGAGCTCTTACTCCTTCATCCACCACCTACCAACTGAAAGCAGGGGGCCAGCACCTGCCAAGTGGAATACATCCTGTGGTAACCTGGTTACCAAGAGCCAATCATGAGCAGACTTCTGTCCACATGCCCGCCCAACTGACACCCCACTTGCTTCAAAATACCCCACATCACCTGGGGCTGCCCTGCCCTGTAGCAGACACCTCTGCCCAGTGTTAGCAGACTATAAGTGGCACAAGTTTCTTACCCCTCCATCACTGGCTGTGTTAACATTGGAAGTAGCAGAGCTAGGCTCAGTTCACTTCCAGCCAAGGTCAACTGACTCCAACTAAGTTCTTCCCCTCTGAATTAACCGTTTGTTTTCTTCAGCAAAGTCACACTAGTGCCCTCATGCTATAGCCCTGCCTGAGATAAACTGCCATCAACAGATTCCGGAGGCCTGCCCAGGCCCCTCCTTCCCATCCTTGTAATGAACAGACACTGGATGTCCTTGGGCTCCTTCGTCTTTGCTGACCAGAGCAGCTTGGATCACCCCAAGACTCAGTTTCTTTCTTTCCTTCATTTTTTTTTTTTTAACCAGGGATTGAACTTGGGACCTTGTGCTTCCAAGGTAGGCAGC